GAGGATTTGCCCTGGAGGAGGTGGGAATGGGGGGTAGGCTGGGGGTAAGGGGAGGGTTTGGGAGGGAGGAGAATAGGGGAACCCATGGCTGATATGTAGAACTGAATGGTATTGTAAAATAAAATAAAAAAAAGGATTAAAATTATCAATAAAGAGAAAAAAAAAGTGAAAAAAAATGAATAAATAAACAAGTAAGTTTAAGATTTAACAGAAACAAAAGACCAGAAAGACAGACAGACAGAACCATTTTACAGTTCCTCATGAACCTATCAGATGAAAGGTCAATGGAGTACTGTCCAAAAAGACAGACCTACTTGGTCACACACACAAGCCCCCGCCGCCCCAGATGACAGCAGCAAGCATAGCACTCATACTGTGCTGTGGCCAAGTAGCTGGGCTCTCTTCAAGTTGCTGGACTCACTTCTTAGGACAACAGCTCTTAATGCTAGCCAACAGAATCACTCAGGGCATCCTGGGTCAGACTACCTTGGTTGGATGTCCAGTCTAGTCGCCAGTGGATTGCCCCATCTTCCTCCCCAAGGTGAGCTAGCTCTGTTCCCATAGGAACACACTTGAATATTATAATGGGCATCCGCACAGAAACAGGACTTTATAAACCATTAAATTCCAAATGGAAAAGGCTCAGTCTCGGAGCAGGGCTGGCAAATGTGCTCCAAAAGGCTTGGCCAACCTCTGCAGGCTCAGTCACCTGAGCCACTGTGCAGGGAGGCCACCAAAACAACACCTGAACTCTCCAGGTGGAATGGTTCCGAGTGGGAACTTGGTGGGATTCGCCTGTAATGCATGATGGCTTCTAGTCTTTGGGGCAATTGAATATGGACACGCTCTAAGTTCCAGGGCATCTCCCCTAGTGACAGTGAAATGTCACTGACTTTAACCCCGAGTTATACAGGAATCAAATATAGGAGTATGAGGTACAGTGCTCAATAAGTAAAACGGGATCACATTAATCATAAAGAAATTCTGAAGTTTTCAAATGAGTGGCGATATTGGTTTCCTTTTATCCAAACCTTAAACTTCCACAGGAAACTGAGTGCCCCGCAGTTCTCTCTGTAGGTGTGTATAGCCCTTCCTGACTGAGAGCCAGCATTCCCTCACCTCTCCCCATTCTCTCTAGATACCATGGCACAACTATTACCTACCTGGAGCCGTGGGTTTGCAACATGAGGGTGCTTGAAAGACACCAGCTCTGCACAGGACGCTCCATCTCTGGTATCAATGGCTTCATATACCTGAAACAAGTTGAAGAGGAAATTTGAGCAGGTAGGCAAGCATCCGCTCTCTGGGACCTGAGCAATGCATTGAGCAGGTAGGCAAGCATCCACTCTCTGGGACCTGAGCAATGTATTGAGCAGATAGGCAAGCATCCGCTCTTATGTGACCTGAGCAATGCATTGAGGAGGGAGGCAAGCATCTGCTCTCTGGGACCTGAGTAATGCATTGCATACCACAGAAGCAGTTCCCTCCTTCTGTGAAAGAGGCCAGAATAATCAAAATGTAAAGTCATACAAGAAACAACTTCATTTCAAAATGGGATCTTCCTAGGTCAAGAAAACAGAAAAGCCAGAGTCCCAGAGAGGCCCCTCTAAAGGTCTCAGGGACACTGGCTTTATATGAAGCACTAAGATTACAAATCCATCATTCCATCATTCTTCCCACTCGAACCCTGGCACAGCCTGATAAGGAGAAGCCTTGTCTTAGTCAGTATCAAGGATTCTGGTCACTTGTCACACTTGAACAGGACTCTCTTAAGGACTCCAAGGCCCCCAGAGTTCTTTCCACAGGAAACCTGTGGGTAGTTGAAGTTTCAGAACTGGAGCACACATTGTGAACCAGAAGCACACTTCTGATGGGTGTAGGTACTAGGGGCCCAGTGCTCACTGAGGTCCAGGTACCAGTCCAGGTAATGAGCAGTGCAGATGTCGGGCAGGGAGCAGGGCTCCAGGGCTGCTCATTTTCCAGTGATCTCCTTTGCAGTGACCTTGGAGATGGCGGCATGAAGTAACCCTAACACCAGTGGCTCTGTATGTCCACGGTCACCTAAGCTGTGTCTAAAACCTCAAGTACAACTTAACTAGCAACTGGCTCAATTCCGCAGGACCTTGCACTCAGGCCCAGACTCAAGAGTGTCCTATCGGAGTGTTGCCCCAATAACAACATGAGGAAGTTAGCAGTGGAGAAGAAATAAGGACTGTCTGTGACAGGCCTGGGAGCCAATCTTGACACAGCAGCTGGGGGCTGGGGATGCAACTCAAGGTGGAGAGCATTTGCTAGCACGTGCAAGTCCCTGGGTTTAGTCCCCAGTATTCTTTTTAAGTGTCTGGCCTCACCATGGATACCTCATCCCTGGCACCCAGCCACCTGCCATAGGTGCTTTACCAAATGCTAACACAGAAACTGCATCCTTTTAGGTTAGACACCATATGGATCATGAACTCATACCCCAAGCAAGCACCTGTGCACAGTACCCTGGGCTGGCACATGGAGGAGTCTGCTTCAGGCATCCCAGGAGACGTCTCTCCCAGCTGACTCGGTCTTCTCAGGTCCTCCACACCAGTCCACAGGGGTACCATCTGCTCTTAAAACTCACAATTCCTTAAAACTGCACATCTCTAACAACAAACTGTACCCATTCTTCCTATCCACTGAAATCCCAGAGCAACAAGCATGGCTGGTACCAGGCCTGTTTCATAAGTTCCGTTCCTCGCTGACAGGAAGCAACGCTCCTTGGAGAAGGGCTGATGCAGAGCTGGGACAGGAGAGACTTGGGTGAGTATGGAAAGCATGTGATCCCAAAGAGGCTCAAGGAAGGGCAGGGCCAGGTTCAAAAGCCACAGAAGCCAGCTGAGGCAGCCTGTGGGAATTCTGAGCTTCAAAGAGTAACATGGCGACAGTATAACTGGGTATTAATCCATAATGTATGCTGGGTGTGGCAGCACACGCCTTTAATCCCAGCACTTGGGAGGCAAAGGCAGGCAGATCTCTGAGTCGGAAGGCCATCCTGATCTACAGAGTGAGTTCCAGGACAGGCAGGGCTACACAGAGAAACCCTGTCTTGAAGATAACAACAATAAAAAAGATTAATTTATTTTATTTTATGAGCTGCCATGTGGGTGCTGGGAACCAAACCTAGGTTCGCCAGAGCAGCAAGTGTATTAAACCACTGAGCCATCTCTCCAGCCCAGAAATTATTTAACTTAAAAAACAAATAGCAGATACATACAGAAAGAGGACCAGGATGCGGCATAATGATAGAGCACTTTCCCAGATGCATCAGACGCTAAGGTCAGCCCTACATAAAAAGTAAGCCAGTGCAGAAAGGAGAACAGGAAATCATACCCTGGCCAACTGATACAGCACCTGGTTTGGAAAGGGCTGTCAGTGAGGGTAACGCATGTCTACGAAAGGGTCTGGAGGACAGGAAGCTCACAGCCTCACACTATCCAGAGCAGAATACATGCAATGTGTGGCATGGCTGCAATCTGAATCCAAAAAACAAATCATAAGGAACAACTTGCAAGAGAGTAGAAAATTAAATAAGAGTTCTATATTAGAAAACTTGCATTGATGTTAAAAGTTTCTCAGGCTACTAAATATATTGTAGTTACAGGCAATGTCCTTGTTCTTAGGGCCATGATGCCTGTAGTTGTGGGCCCTGACTTTGAGGTGTTTTATAGCTGTTAACCTTGGAAAATGGAGTAAAGTTTTCTTCTGGTTTGACCCCGGACAGAAGTGGACCTTCCTACTCCTTGTGGTAAGGGGTAGATTCCTCAAGCTCCGCGTTTCAGAGAGAAACATGGAGCTTGAGGAATCTACCCTCAAGTGTCTACAGACACTCCTCACAGGCCATTGCATCACCCCTATTGAACTGGGATACCTAGGAACCAGCACAAGCATCCTGATGCCATGCCACTCCCTGTGATTAAGAAAGAGCAACCCTAGCCAGGCGGTGGTGGTGGTGCACGCCTTTAATCCCAGCACTTGGG